CCATAAAAATAAGTAGTAAAGTAAAGTAAAAATATCAGAAAAATCTACTTGAGTACAGTAACGAAGTATTTGTACTTCATTACTTCCCATCTCTGCAGCAAACAGGCCAGATCATGACATTAATAAATGTAATATTATCAATTTTTATTTTTATTCTTTCTTAAATGAAGTTTGAAAAATGATATTTGAAAAAATTTGAAAGAAAATCTGATAAAAAAAAGCAAAGTAGACCTAATAAGAAAAACTTTTTTTTTATTAAGAAGTGTTTCAAAGTTTTATTTCTTTCTTTATTTTTTTCTAGCAGCAATATTGAAACAAAATGCACTCCATACCCTTTAAACAGACAAAGTGTGGGTTAATTGGGTCTCAGCCTAATGTTGGTCTGATTACAGATATCACTTCCAGCCGAGCATCTCACCTCCCGCTGGATCCCGCTAAAAAACAAGATCAAAGGCTAAAAAGAGAAAATAAAAAGGCCAGACCCGGCCTGAAAAAAACAAAACTATGAAAACAACTGAAAAAATAAAGAAATAATGGAATGTCAAAGAAAACAAACAAAACGTTCAACAAAACCAGACTTAAAAAGGATGGAGAACCCCACATGCACAGCTGTAACCCTCAGACATTACCTGCTGAGGAGAAAACTGTTCAGCTGGATTTGAAAAAGACAGCGAGGACACATGAGGACGCACTAGAACGCACGCTCACCTCCTGCCATGCAACTTCTCTTCTATGTTGTGCTTCTGCACTCCATTTTAAACCTAAGATCTTCTCATTTTCTCTGTTAGTGATCAAACATACTTGGATCATTTTACAGAAACAAGTTAAAGCTGTTTACCTTTTATTGAGGGGGGGGCATAGGTGCTCTGCTTCCTCTGGGCAGCATCTGAAGCCTGCAAAACATAACTCTAAAGTAAATTAGTTTTTCTAATTTAGTTTTTATAAAGAAGGAATTTAAACTGATAACTAAGACTAAATAGCTATAATATAATTATCCTACACAAAAAAACACATTAAAATCTCAGTAATATAATGATATATAATAAGTCTTCCTTTAGACATATTAGAAATAGTTGAACAAACTGAACCATCTTTACTCATTTCAACGCCATGATCAATGATTGCCAAAATAAAACCATTTAGATCTCCCTGTTATCAGTCTGGAAGACATTGGATAAAAAACCCTCTATCATTACTCTCATATTATCACAAATATAGATTTACTTAGTTTTGACAATTTTTTTCAATATACAAATTTAAAATCAGTCTTCAGAATTCAAAATACTTATTCTGAACAAATGACATTCCCTGCCTTTGATCACACCCTTTCATATTTAGCCTGTAGTGGTAAATAAAAATATATTTAAAGATTAACTGTGTCAGCATCAGTTCTGGTAAAATATTGGTGATAATGTGTATATATATATATATATAGTTTGAATTGTTTGAGTGTGCAGCTTTTAGGAAGCATTGGTGCTCAGCCTGTTAGTCAATAGATGCCGTTAATAACCAGGTCAGCCATTGTGTGGGGGGGCTTTAGCTCGGGGCCCTGGGCAAATTGAGCAGCAGGAAGTCAGACATGTGGACACCACAGACTACCCTCCAGTTTTAATAGAGAATACTTTCTGCACCTTTAGCTTTTCTCATATCATCTCTCTGATTCTGTGTGTAGTTGCAAACAGTTTTCCAAACCTGTGGCTCTCCAATGGCGTGCTGTTGGTCTCCAACATCTGTGAGAGAGATGAAATAAGGAGTGATTGCTTTACATGCAAACTAAACATTAAAACATTACATCTTATCACTGATCTTGTCCCTCCAGCTGTGAATTTTCTCCTCCATGTGACTTTAGACCACACAGTTCATGTCTCATCTAGATAACATCCTTTAAAATCACAGTAGAGGAAGAAGTTTTCCTAAAAACTGGTCCTTGAATAAATTAAGATGTTTTGCAAATCTCCTGCAGTTTTACATCCCAAGGTATATTTAACATTTTTGGTGTATTGTGGTCATTCTCATATCGTTTTTACACATATGTTCTTTCTAGCTCATTGTGCTTCTTCTAATGGTTACAGTTTCATTTTTCTGTGAGGTTATTTCATTCATGCAATCCATTTGTAGCCTTTTCTACTTTTTTATTATTATCTTATAAATGTTATGAGCAGGGAACGCATTATTCATTTTGACTCTATGGTTTTCAGGATTAATCCGTCTTGTCCTGCAGTAGTGTTGATTCTATCTTTTACTACAAGCTGTTAAACAACCTTTGAAAAGAGTCTGTAGCGTGAGTAGGCTGCTGTATAATCTGCACATAGAAACTATTGCTACAATAATGCAAACAGCAGGGATTTTATAACAATAACCTTAGATAGTTTAATACCTCATATGGTTAATTTATGCTGAATGCTTGAAGTGGCTTGAGTCATATAGCGAAGCTTATTTGATCACATATAATGACTTGTAGGGGGAGGAACGGTGAGTTCACTCCTTAGTATGAGAAGTATAGAATATAAT